GAGCAAAGTCGTAGAGACAGAAAGCACAATGTGCTTCGAGAGGCTGAGCAAAGGGAAGAATGAGGAGTTATTATGCGATGGGTGTATCATTTCAGTTTCACTCGTGCAAAGAGTTACAGAGATGGATGGTTATTGTAGTTACACAACTTTATGACTCTTGTAGCACTGAACAGAACATTGCAAGTGATTAAGACAGAAGGTGGGCATCCCACTTATTCGGGAGGCTGAGGCCAGTTTGAGGCCAAATTGGGTGACATAAGGTGATCTCATCTCCAAAATCAAATAAAAAAGGCTTCAGTGATGAGGGGGGATGAACTGTATTCTGTAACATTGTACAACATGGATCAATCTTGACAGTGGTATGCCAAGTGAAATAAACCCGACACGGGACAAATACATGATTGGGCTTATATAAGGTGCCTGGAAAGGGTAAATTCATAGAAACACAAAGGAGAACAATGCTTACCAGGGGCCGAGGAGTGGGAAGAATAGAGTCAGTGTTCTAGACAGGAATGGTGAATAAATATTGGAAATGATTGGTGTGATGGTTGTACAACAGTGATTTTCCTTAACACCACTGAGCTGCACACTTAAATATGATTAAAAGCTTTAATGTTACGACAAGTAAGATATTTCTGCTGCAAATCTGGAGCTGGTGCAGGGAAAGACATTAATGGAACAATACGCTATCAGGAAGAGCTCGCTTCTAAAGAAACAGGGCGTTCCACCATCCCCTTAATTGTGTTGCTCCCTCTCAAAAGTTCAGAATGAACTGGTGTTAAAGTGGAAGGCACCCTTCCACCACAGTGCTGGGGTTTTGCAAGGAAAGCACTATCGTCTTGATCTCTGTACAGGAACAAATCTTCTTCTCATGTTTGTTGACGACTTTGATGTAGGCCCCCAGCCAGCAAGCTACCCTACTTGGCTGTGTAAACTGCTCGCCTTGCCCTGGACCCCAGGGCTGGCCTGGCGAGCAAGTGACTCCAGGCTGAGGTGAATGATACTGTGTGGTAGTCAGGGCAACTGTCAGATCTTTCCTTTTATCTACCTCTGTCTCCTGTGAAGTGTCTCTCCCGGCTCCCTCCTACCAGGTATCAAAACCCCTGATAAAGGGGAAAGAAGTTATCTAAAGCATTGTATGCTCCTGGTAAGAAATCCAATTATTTATGGTCACAGAGACATCTTCTTCTGAGTGTGTTGTTAAGTGACCTATATGTATAGTTTTCCTTCTGCCATTAACAGAGCTCCTCTTTTATCCCACATTTAAAATCTTAATAGTATTTGCCTCTTTCAAGATGAGGGCAAAAGTTAGCAAGAATGTATTTGTGACCAGTTACAATTCAGAGAAAGAACAAGATATTGGAGCCCTGTTCTTTAGTTTGTGTTTTTTGGCTTTAAAGAAAAATTCCCAGGACTACAGCCAATATAATTTTTAGATGATGGCAGACCATAATTCCAGAAAATGCTTTCTAAGTTCTGTCCTATCAAAAGCAAGGAAGTAACATAAAAGAATCCAATTCTTGTGGCCACTCCACAATGCTCTGTGTGAGTGACATGCAGATTCTTGAACTCACAGAAGAAAAGTCTCAAATTCCATTTGATGGAGCAGACTTAAAGATTTGTTCAGTAGACCTGAAGATTAATTTCATTTTCTGAAAAGACTTCAACCTACCTCACCCTTGGTGCCAATGACACCTCTCATGGTTGGGTCCAGTAGGACACCCAGAGGCTCTGTGACTTGGAGAGATGTGATGACCTTTGAATCTTTGTCCAAGCAAGTGCTGCCACTTCAAGGGTCCCCAGTAAGCTGAAGGAAAGGAACTTTGATCCATTTCACTTGCCTGTTTTCCATTGCTGTGTGGGAGAAGTTCATAAAATAAAGTTGGCACACACAGGCTGAGTGTAAATCTAGCAATGGATTCCACTTGTTGGCTGTGGTTTTCTGAACTTTCCTGCTCAGAGAGGAAGAGAAAGAGCAGGAGATGCCTGTGGCTGCAGTTCAGCTCCATCCTCTGGTCCCAATAGCAGGTTCACCTACTCAACAACTTACTTGACAGCCATGCAAGCCTCCAGCATCTGTCTCCTTCTCCTTCTCAAGATTCCTTGACATTTTAATCATACACCCAGAAGGAATCTTTTCTGACCTTCGCCTGCTAATCAGTCCTTCTACGAAATTTTAATGGCACAGGTGTAGTGGATGTCTATTCCTGCACATTGATGCTTTATAACAAGAGTAAGATTTCTGCTCCTTCCCAAGAACCAACATTAGTCCTGCTAACATTGCTAGAGTCCTGCTGGAGTTTGTCTCTGCTGAAAACGCACACCCTAAACCTTTGGAGAGCTACTTGAATAGATGTGACTTGTACAGATTTATGTGGTGCGATCTTCCTGTGCCACAATGGGAAAAGTCCATTAACTCTGGAGTGGGATACACCAGGTCTGTATGCAGTCTCCCATTTCCCTGGCAGGACCAGCTGCCTGAATTTGGGAAGTGTCCATAATTCTCTCAAGGCTCAGTATCCTCATCTATAAAACAGAGATAATTTCTATCTTCAGGGTGGTAGTGAGGAATAAATGATGAAATGTGTATTGTAGCAACAAGCCATCATATTATGTGCTTAGCAAATCCTGTGTTCTCTCTCCTTCCTTTTAGCTTCCAACAGAAATATAATATTCTAGTTTATGAGAGCTAGTTTACGTTCTTTAGTAAGATTTTATTCCCTTTCCTGGAGATATGCTGGATTGAAAGATAATTTGCAAATGAATATAAAATATGTTGCTACTACAGCTGGGGTGTAAGTGTTAAATATCAAGAGCTAGTAAACCTAATCATACATCAAGGGAAAATAAAAAGTTACACACATACCCAAACTTTACAGCTCACTGCAATTTCTTTGCACTTGAGAGAAACTGAGTGTATTAATCATTTCCTTCTCCCTACTCTCTTTCTCCAATCAAGTTTCACTGTTCTCTATTTACAGCTCACGGTGAGGCTATCAATGAAATAAAACTTTTTTCTGAAGGCAGCCTCCATCACTCTGCCAGCATGAATTTTAAACCAAGTAAACTTCAGTGCTAGTCAGCTTTCTGGAGAAAAAATAACTGAGAGAAATCAATTTAAAGGAGGCAAGGCTTATTCTGGATCACTATTTCAAAGATTTCAGGCCATAGCCACTTGGCCTAGCTAATTTTAGGCCAACAGCCAGGAAGTACATCACGGTAGAAAGAGTTGGAAAGCTGCTTGCCTTATGGTGGCCAGAAAGCAAAGAGAGCTTGCTTTTTTATAAGACAGCTCATTAAACTGTGACTTCATAAATGGACTCAACGTTTCATGAGGTCGAACAGTTCTGACCAGACTACCTCCCAAGGTTCCACTCTGTACATAACTGCACTGGATACTGCGGCGATTACGCTTAATTGTTTAACTTGCTTGACTTGGAAGCTGCCTAGGGGATTTGCAAAGCACCCTTCTGGGTGTATCTGGGTGTGTTAAAATACAGTACCTTGAGGACTAAGTCTGGTTTCTGTTCCCTTACTCTTCGGTGCTGTTTGTCTCCTCTGTTCTTCAGTCACCATGAATAGAGACGCTTTGCTCTCTCATGACCCTCTGCTGTGATGCTTCTACCTTAGAGCTAGCTGATCATGGATCTGAATCCTCGAAAGTGATGGTCAAAAATCCTTGCTCCCTTAAAATTTCATATGTCAAGTATTTTGTCCCAGTGATGGGAAGCTGTCAAATATGGGACCAAGCCTTCAACATGTGAATACAGGGGACACATTTAAGATCCAAACCACAACAGCTTCTCAGATGAAACTTTGAAAGACAACTGACTTTCTTTTGTTAGCCCACCTACCCTACGCTTGAATATACATCCAAAAGGCAGGGAAAGTTTAAACATTTAGTGTATTTGAGATGAAGGTGCCGCATGAGAGTGCTTTGGAAGCTTTGTGATGGGAATAGCACTGCTTGATGGCAGCCTAACGGGGGGAAAAAGAATCTAAAATTATTTCAAAATTATGTGTTTCAGAAGATACTCGTCTTCCAGAAAGTACAAAGTGTACTTTCATGCATACTTGAAACTAAGAAAGTTACAGTCATTTTAAATAAGTAAATAGACAAGATTAAGTGGTGTTAAATATCAAAAGCTAATTTGGGTTTCTGGCATCAGAGCTCACGCTTTCTCTACAAGTGTGGGTGGTAGAGGACAGATATTCCTGAATTGGATTGTCACGAGCCTTCAGAATTTGGGGTGTCATCTGTCACCCCTGGGAACAGAGAATGGTGAGTCACAGTCTCCAAAGAGAAAGTGCCCCCCCCCGAGTTTTCCATTATGTCTTTTTGTCTATAACAGGAGCACGAATAATTGATTCATGGTTTTGTTCTTGTCTTAAAAAAAGATAGTCTCCTTGCATGTGCTGGCAATGATCGATAAGCAAGGGTGACAAACACTGAAATCTCAGTGATTTAGCACGATTGTGATTCATCTCAGTTCACATGAAGTCCACTGTGGGCTTCAGAGACTCTCCAGATCCAAACCCTCCGTGTTCCTGAACCAGTAGCCACTGGTGTCACCCGCTTCAGCTCAGAAGTGCCACCAATCCCCCCCTTCAGCCTGGAACTGGTCACTGCTGGAGCTAAGGCACTGACTGTCAGGAAGTCTGAGTTTCTGGCAGTGTCAGATGATGGATTCTTGCTTGATTTGGGGGAGGAGGAGAACCTAAGTATAACCACTAAAGGGCTAGAAACTAACCCATCTTTCCAAAATGTATAAGCATGGAAGGATTAGTGCTTTCTGCTTTTTTGAGAAAAAAATTCAACACAATGGCTGCAGCAGTAGGAGCTATGAGCTTAGCAAAGTTTCAACTGTTGTGCAGTCCACTAGATGGTAGCTACCATTTGAGGGATAAACTTTAAAACCAATCAATATTGCCTAATACAATAAATACTCATCAGCTGACAAATTTAGCCTCTTGTTTACCTTGTCTACTTCTTTCTCCAGTGTATTTCTGGAATCAGATGGAACTGAATCCTCCTAGGACTGTGCTGCTTCTGGTAAAAGCCAGTATCCAAACCCAAGAGTTTATCTGGAACGTCCAGACATCTGGGCCCACAGATAGTGAAAAATGGGACTGTCCCAATAAACGCAGATGGCTGGTGAGCTTGTGGTACCACGCACTCATTTTCAGGTATGAGATCAGCCACAACCGAGCCAAGTTATTTTCTTTTATGAACTTTTAATGTTTTTTGGCATACCTGAAAAGTGCAATAAAAATGAAAAAGTGTTCGTCAATATTAGTGTATCTCTGTAGTCCTACTGTTGCATGGTAATATCATCAATTATGTATGGCTCCCACAGGGTAGTGGGCTTCAAGGGAGAGGAAATTGAATACAAAGACTTTTATTCTGGTTTTCACTCCAACTCAAGTCATTAGTCCTCCCAGCACTCCCTACCCCCACGCTGGCCCAGGCACAGCAATTTGCTGGCGAGGCCTTTGCTGCACCTTGAATCGTGGTCTTCCAATTCCCGGCAAGCGCACATTCCTATTTTAAGAACCCAGCTTACTCTAAAACAACCACCCACTCGCCAAGTGCTCTCAGCACAATTGCATTTTGAGTGTGACACATGCATTTAACCCTCGGAGTGGTGTCATTGCTTGGCGTTCTGGCAGCTTGAACAAAATGACCCCCGGCCCCACAGACGACCCGTGACAGCTAAGAGAGAGCATTTCCATCCTTCACCGGAGCAGCTCACCATCCACTGCTCTGGTTTTGAGATGCTTTTTGTTTTTGCGCCCCTTGCAGGCAAGAAGCTGAACTGAACAACCCGTTCCTCTGCTGAAGACGGCCGAGTCTAAGCAAGCCACAGGTTCCCTTTCGGTTCTAGGGAACAGGAACACTGCACCAGGGGGGTGGGAAGGGCCAGAGACAGCAGTGAGATCAATACGGTGTGCGCGGCAGTGGAGAGAGGACAGCGCTGCTTCCTTCTCCCAAAGCTTGAAGGAGGAAAGGGTCTGGCAGGACTGGAGCCTGGGTCTTCACTGTACAGTGCTGGGGTGACAGGGCCTGTCCCCTAGGAGGTGCTGAGTAATGCGGGCCTTAGCTACCTAATCCCTCCCAGGGAGTCCACTCCCTTCTAATGAGACACAGGCTGAGCTGGCAGTCTGCCTCCTCCGAGAAGCCGCCCCTGATTTCCCTTGTCCAGTTCTCATCTCTGGGCCTTTGTTTTCATTGGGCTGTCCCTCCTGTCAGGTGCCCCAGGACAGAGCTTGTGTCCTGTTCACTGTCCTCCATGTCCCCGATGGTGCCTGGGACATAGCTGAAGATCAATACATGTTTGGCAGGGAATTAATAAATGAAAAGAATGGGGCTTTATTTAATTGCTCTTTATTTAATCCTATGAGTATTTCTTTTTGAATTTATTTATTTATTTAACATGGATACTCATTAACCATTACTGAAGTTTTCAGGCTCTGCGTCTATCTCAGTGTATTTTTATCTGCTAGGCTTTATCCTAGGCAGCTGGTAGAGCAGCTGGAAGCCCTGTTGAGAGCAGTTCAGGAGACAAGAGTCCAGGCCAGGGTGATGCAAGCGGGGACATTCAGGATGTGAAGGACTCAGAGGCTGATAGACCTGGCAGAGAAGCAGAGTCCAGTGGGTTTCTTAGAATATTTTTAGAATATTTAAGCCTTGTTTTGTAAAGCACAGCGTGTTATCACAGAGCCTAGATATATTGGTGGAATCATCTTAGAAATGAAAAGAAACATAGTATGATCATTGAAATTTTGGCCAAGGATATAGCTCAGTGGCATAAGTACCTGTCTGGCAAGTATGAGGTCATGAATTCGATCCCTGGTACTAAAAAAGAAAAACAATCAATGAAATGTTTAAATTTCCAAGGAAATTTGTGGCCACATCAGTTTAAATGTTATGAGAGACATCTCTGTGAATAATTTGAAGACGATGGTTTCTGGAAACTTTTCTTTAGCATTCAGTTCCTGTTTGTTTTGCAGTAAGTAATCACCTCTAAATTTTTATCTTTAAAAAAATAAAAAACATGAAGCACGTGATACTCCACAAAATTCTTAAATGCCAACAACACCTCAGGTGACCCAAACCCATCAGACCAGATGAAACCTGGAAAATGACACACATAGTGAACAAGCCTCCCTCACACATAGACACCGGCCTACTCCAAGTGGCCTATGCCCCATGCATGGTACACTGGGGTCTACCTATTCTCTGGTTCTTATTCTGTAGCTTTTTACCTTGGTTCCTCCAACAAAAATTACAAACTGGCTATGGTGAGCTGAATTTGGCTCATAGACACATTTTCTTTATTCTTTAACTCACTCAACAGTTTTGAAAGTCATTAGGTGGTGACGTTTAGAAATCTGGTGGCGTCATATGTTTTAAAAAATCTAGATTTCTATCTTCACCTTAAAATCTGAAGATGTAGCAACTTTGGTCATGAATTCCTGTATGGACACATTGAGCTCAGATAAGACCAGCTGACCTTTTTCTCTTCAACTGGAAATTGAGCACATGGCTGTTCTAACACTAAGATACATCACCAGCTCACTCACTTGATTGCTTTCTCTCTCTTTCTCTTTTTCTTTTCTCCTCTCTGTCTCTCTCTCTCTCTGTCTCTCTGTCTCTCTGTCTCTGCTCTGTCTCTGCTCTGTCTCTCTCTCTCTGTCTCTGCTCTCTCTCTCTCTCTCTCTCTCTCTCTCTCTCTCTCTCTCTCTCTCTCTCTTTCCCTCTGTCTCTCTCTTTCTCTTTGAGACATGGTCTGGCTAAGTTGCCCAGGCTGGCCTTGTTACCCTCTTGCCTCAGCCTCCCAAGTAGCTGAGATTACAAGTTTGTCTCATAACATACAGCTGCAACTCTTTAATAATATTGCTAATCATAGCAGTAACCCTAGTCAATTATGCAATGAATAGTATCTACTGCACAACATACTCTCTTAAATGTTTTGTATATATTAACTCATTTTTTTTCTCATGTCAACTATTTGAGATAGGTACTACAAATATCTTCAATGCTATTTGTAGGGAAACAAGTCACAGTGAGATTAACTAACTTACCCCAAGTATACAGCTTTAAGTGGCAGAGCCAAGATTTGAATCACGATGAACAAAGGCATAGTACTCATAAATGTAGCCTCCCAAATGGTGCTAAGAGTGATTACAAGGTCAGTTTGTTCCTCCCAGAATATGGGTGTCTACAAGGAAAGCCTGTTGGAATGAACCTGTAACAGACATGGCATGGGATCGGGAGTCTACTGCCTACCCTTGAATCAGGGATCAGCCACAGGTCCCTGAATAGAACTTGGGCAAGTTAACTAATATTTTTAAGCTCTATTCTTATTAGTAACAGAGAAAAATAGTATCTGCTCCTGGGTTGCTCAGACTTTACTTAAATCCTTAGCCTAGGTAAGTGCTGACACATAGTAGGTACTCAATTCATGTTTACTATTGTCTGGGCAACACTTAGGGCTGAATATTTTGTTTATGCCTAAGAAAAGCCTTAAACTGATGTATGGCAATTTTTCTAATTTTTAGCAATTTAGAGTATAGAAAAAATAATTATAGCAAAAGTTATATGGTGGTTTAAAAATAGCATTTAAGTACTATTTTAAGAACTGAGCATCATTATATAAAATCAAACTTTAATTTCAGTCCTTCACAAAGTATTTTCAGCAGATATTACTTGAAAATTTAGTTTACTACATTCATCATATTCCTAATATTTTTAGCCTAGCCCATAGTAGGAGTTCAGATAAATATTCATAGAATGAGTAAAAATTAAAAATGAGAAATTGACAGAAGTTTGACTTTTTTTTCTGTACTGGGGCTTGAACTCAAGGATACTCTACTAGAGAGCAACATTCTCAGCTCTTCTAATATTTTTCATTTGGAGGTGGGTTATTCCTAAATTGCCCCGGCTAGTCTTGAACTTCCAATCCTCTCGCCTCAGCCTCCTGAGTATCCAGGATTACTGGCATATTACCACTTCCCCCAGCTTTTGTTTGGTATTAAGGAGAGAACTCAGAAAACCTTCTGAAAAGTTAGTTCACATAGAATAAGCAAACAAACAAACAAAGAAGTATGATCAAAGAATTTTTCCTTGTTAAGATCAGAATGCATTAATACTAATGAAAACAGAATGCAAACCCCTTCTGACATATTTGAAACTGTTTAAAGATAAACATTTGTGCACTGCAAGCCACAAATGGGTTGAAACTCCAGTGAGGACTTTATAAGCCATCTGCTAGTCTTCTAATGAGGCTGGTAACTATCATTGTTTACAGTTAGGCACCAGGGGTCAGGGGTATTTGTTGTAATGAAAGCAGCAATGCATCACTGCAGAAACTAAGAGGCTTTCTTCACACCGGCTAATTACAAATATAATAAAACAACATTTAAAAGAGCTCTTGAAGTCCACAGAGAAACTTAACTTGGCACAAGAAGTACAAACTGTTGTACCCGGTGTTTTCATTTAGTGGATCCTGATTACAGAATCCATATCATATTTAACTACTAACAATCTAAGGCCACCAATGGTCTTTTGCTTCAAGTCACTTTATCACAAGATGCTTCTCGAGCCATCTGTACTGTGAAGATGTTTGCACAATCTATACATGGAGCATGCAAACTCTCAGCAAGACCCACAGTGGTGTGTGTGTCTGTATGTTTTAAATAAGATGCTACTTTAAGGTTCTTCCCTCCTGGTGCCCCAACTGAACTGTGAGTTAGTTAAATCAGTGGAAGAGTAGTACATGCTTGGAATCATAGAAACAAAGAAATGGATTGACGGACTAAATTTTTTAATTTTTTAATTGGCAACTTGGCATCTTAGAAATGTGATCTAAATCCTAATTGTTTTGGTCCATGTGTTGTGGCAGTAGGTCTGCTGTCCACCAGAAAAATTTAACCTGTTGCATTAGATGACAACAACTTTATCTGCTCATTTATTCGCAGCATCTCAGACTAGAAAATTTTAGAGTTACAAGAAAAAGGATTCTTACACAGATTCCTACTGATAACATTATCAAAACCTGAGGTGTCAAATATGAGAAAAGTTCTATTTGTTAAAAGTGCCTGTTACCATATTTTTTCACTCTTTCCCTTATGTATCAAAACCCAAAATTAACTACTATACTCCCAGTACTCTGGGAGGGTAAGTCAAATGGATCACAAATTTGTCCCCAGCCTGGACAACTTAGCAATTTAGTGAGATCCTGTCTCAAAATAAAAAATAAAAAGGGCTACATATGTAGTTTAGTGCTAAGGTCGTGGATCCTTTCTCCTGCTATAAAGACAAATACACATACACTAAGTAATTAGGAAGTAATAGCCAACAAAAACTTGAAAATAGATGCAATATTAGATGAGCTGATAATGGAAAGAGATAATATGAATCAGATCTAGAGTTGATCTAAATGGATCCCCTGAAGTTGTTTTGAAGAAAGTATATGTGATAAATGCAACATTTGAGATAAGTGAATAAAACTAAAATTGTTTAATAAATATTATAATCATATGTTAACTTTTGAAGAGAGATCTTCATGTCATATGCCAAAATAAAGCCCAGAGAATTAAATAATTAAGTGTAAGCAATAAACTCTGAAAAATTATTTTAATTTAGGAAAGTTTTATAAGATTTTTAAAAAGCCATTCCTTACCTGAAATGCTTGGGACCAGAATTCATCCAGATTCTGGATGTTTTTGGGTTTGGGAATATTTGCCAGTGATGATGAGCTTTCTTAGAGATGTGAGCCAAGTCTAAGCACAGATTTCATTTATATTTCATATATATGTAGCCTGAAGGTAATTTTATACAATATTTTTAGATAATTTTGTGCAGAAAACATGGAATGGGCTTTTCCTCATATGACATCATGTCGGAGCTGAAAAAATTTCAGCTTTTGGGGCAACAATATCTTGGTTACTTTTCTCTCATTGCTGAGACAAAATGATAATACCCAAAATGAAGGAAAGAAAGGCTTATCTAGCTTACAGTTTTTGGAGGTTTCAGTCCATATTCAGCTAGCTCCAAGGCAGGGTGGCTGAGAGTTAACATTCATGGTGGCTTTAAGTACCAAAGCCAACAAAAGTAAAAGGGGCACAAAGGGGAAAACACACCTCCTTTCTTCCCTTATATTGTATGCCAGCTTCCCTCCCTGGGCGGGTGCAGCACTCACATTGCCAATTCCAACACTAGACAATGAACCAATCACAAATACTATACTCAAATGCCTTCCCCCCATGACCATATAAGGTTTGGGGGTGGCTTCCAGACACAAAACATAACATTCCACTCCTGGCCCCACCAAAGGCTCTCTAAGTGCACATCCCTCTATAGGAAAGATA